CCAGAGAAATGCAAAAGTAATAATAAAACCAAGGTCTTTCTTGGCAAAGTTATCTTAGGGTAAATGCTGCAGCCGGAAGTGCTGCCGGCGAGTGTTCTCAGGGTAAATGGGAAAAGGGTTAAAGGTTAAATTAGAGAGTAACCAAGATTTGAGGTTTGAAGGAAGCTAGCCTAAAAGGCCTTGAGACGTTGGGCCTGGAGTGTCCTTAAACGGAAGTATAGGGACAATAGTGGCCATTCAATGCATTTCCTGGTGTGCAGTCTGAATATTTTTGGTGATGGCATAGACATCAGAGAGGTGTGTGGAAACATATGCACATCGGTCACTTCTGATTGCACAATCCCAAGTGCCCTGTGGGAAGCTAGGATCATGTCCCATGCCAGTCAATTGTTGTGGGCCGCTCACTGGATTTCTTTAATCCTCTGGTGATGATGTTAGTGTCTTTGGTAAGATTGTCCACAGTTCTGGTTGTTTCCTGAAACAGAGCATGGAGAATGTGGGAGCCTGGGTGAACTTACTGAGTGGCCCACTACCAGCAGCTCCAGACACAAAGCTTGTCCATCCATGACCTACAGCAGCATGAAGCCTTTCCAGTGTCCTTCCAATCTTACAGCCTCTTGTTCTATGGCTTCTTGGGATCCTGATAAGGAAGGAGGGCCACAGTCTCTTTCTGGGGCTGGGATTCTGTGCCTTGGCTTGTAGATGTAAAGTTTTTGTAGCTCTTTGGATTGTCTAGTGCCTGAAAAACTTAAATCAGTGATAATCCAGCAGTAGTTAAGACAAGAAGAGAAGGCGGGCTAATTAAAGATTTGAAAAGCACCAAGAGGATTAGCTAAATAACAGGATCTATTCCAACCAGCAGGCATGCTTTTTCCTTTCCTGTCCAGCCCCCTTCCCGTAGGAGACAATTTGTAGATCAAAGAGGTCATGTTCACTCAAAGCTTGCACTCCTGTTCAAGAGCACGTTCCAAATATTATGGCGCTTGGATATCCTTCTCAGATTGCCCTGAACCCACTTGCAATGCCTAATGGACCTTTCTCCCTGGGTCAGTCCTCCTGAGGGTAGGCCATGCCTGTAGTGTGCACCCCTAGAATCAAGAGGCGCTCCAGGGGTAGCTGCCTGTGAAAATGATGGAGTTTGGACGTGTAGTCTAGGATATCCACAAACATGCACCCAAACCACAGTAAAAACTGTGAACAACAAAGCTTATGTGAGCTTCACTGGTCAGTAACATTCCGTGTGTATTGTCATATGTTGATATTGGGAAAGTAATGTGCCCTGACTCCACAAAAAAAAAAAAAAAACCAAAAAACATTTGACTCCCCCGGACTCCACTGCAGGCACTTTTCCCTTGGCTGGTCTTGATTTGTATCCTTTCCATGTAAAAAAAAAATCATTACTGTAAGTATAATAGATTTCAGTTAAGTTCTGTGACTCCTTCTAGTGAATTATCAAACCTAAGGGTGATCTTGGAGATCATTGTATTTGCAATTGGTTTCAGAAGCAGCAGTGGTCTTAATGACTGTTCCCTCTGACATTACAGGTCGCCAAAATACTTCACAGTAGGTGTCAGAGGTGGGATTCACGAGCCCCACCCTGACTTGCTGAAACATGTGGTTTGAGAGGAAGAAGGAGGAAAGGGCTGGGGGTGATTAAAGGGTTGGTGGTGATGAACCTTTGATTACTGGATGGCCACAGGGTTGCTGATGGTATGGAATTAATGCTGTGCTGCAATTAGTTGCTGGAGGCAGAAGATACCAAAGGAATTTAGAAATAATGGCTCCGTTTCTGAGGAGATGGTACTGGATAAATAAGGAAATGAAAAGTAACAAGGAACAAACTAGTACCAGTCTCTTGGTTATTGTTATCTGTAATAACTAAAATAAAAGTGAGAGTATTGGGATGGATCCTGAGGCTGACCTACGCTTGGATTCAGGTGGGTCCAAGCTATAGCCACTAATGTCAGTGTTACCACCAGAGGGAACAGTTAAGCAGAACAAACCAATAACTAAGATGTGAAGGAGAATGGGGGAAGGACAGAGGAGAAAGTCAAGGGACTCATCCCAGCAGGGCAGAAATCCTTCAGTGGTTATTAATGGGATGAATACAGCAGACACGGATGGAGTGAGGACAGAAGTCTTAGTGCAGCACTAGGGACTGATGGGAGCCCCCGCTTATCCCCCAGCAGTGAATCAGAAACTGTAGGGACTGATGGGAG